TTTAATCTGCAGTCCTTGAAGTTCCCATGACTCTCCTGAAACCGTCTACCAACTTGCTGCTGAAGAAATCACAGATTCCATCGGCTTTTCAAGTGTTCCTAACTGCCTCCAAAAGATTAATGACCAGAGCAGGGGAAGAAAGAAAGCAGACCAATAGTGGACGGTGATACAGCGGAGCAGGTGCTATGATCGAGTGAGTCTGTCACCCAGACTGGTTCATCCTGCCCGACACACAGCAAGACAAACCGCTGAGATGCCACATTCGCAGCCAAGAAAGGGCTTATTCGCAAGGCAGCCACACGAGGAGGCTGGAGAACAGATCTCAAATCCAGCCCCTCAAAGGCAAGAAGGCTTGGGGTGCTTATGGGATAACCAGTGAAGAAGCAGGGCAGTCTGAAGGGTGGGGAGTGTGTGGAACGTGGGGGAAGTGATTGGAAGAGGGTGCAGGAATCACCGTTCTGTGCGGGTGTAACGGAGCTACAGGCACCTGCAAGTTCACAAGTTCAGCAGGCGGACACTCGCTCCTGCCCAGGTGAGGGGTCCGGGGCCCGTCCAGTCCTGACCAGCTCAGCCTGAAGCAGACACAGCTGACTCCACGTTCCTGGAAAACAGCCCAGGCGAACATCTTACTGTTCAGGCTTCACGGTGCTTGGAGGACGTGCAAGTCTTAAAAAGACCTTGGTGAGTGAAGGTACGTGAAATGGATTAAACCCAGGGTTTCAGGTCAAAAGGATCGCCAAAGGCCTCCTGGAGGAAGTGGAACTCAAGCGTCCTTCCTTCTCAGTCGTCAGTCCCCTGAGGGCAGCAGCTCTGCTCTGTGGGGCCTCGTAGATTCTACACAGTTCATGGCAAAACGAGTCTGCTCGCTCCTCCCCGCTCCCTCCATCTCTGCCTCTGCTGTGAGCCTTCAGTGGGAAGGCTCACGGTGGTCAGGAGAGTAAGACTGAAAGTTCAGGCCGGTGCAAACTGTAAAAGTCAACCAAGTTGTTTGTCTTACGTGAGTCCATCTTAGCTCTGAGGACTGGTCCTCTTATTTTGTCAGGAAAACTCTGGGGGCTGTGTGGTATGATATTCTTAAAGCTTTTCATTAATATGAATTCAAATATTTTGTGGTTCCAATCAATTAAATACGTAAAGAATGGTTTCCTGCCGCTGAACCAGTGAGCTAGGTGTGGCTTAACTACCTGAACCTCAGCGGTGTTTTGGCTCAGATGTCAAGGTATGTGTGCGTGAAACTTTAAAACAATGTTAGGGAGAAACCTTGAATAGCATGCTGAATCATTTAGCTAGCTTTATTGTTTAGAGCCCCATATTTTGAAAAGGTAAGGTAAAACATTATTGCTTAGAAGCTCACAAAAGGCTGAGGTTCCCCCACCCCATCTGTATTGAGTCAGACTGAAGCTATTGTATTATTATGTTTGTTCTTAGGATGTTTGAGAATTGTTGCGCTGTCCCTAAGAAAGCCTGCTGCTCCAAGGGGAATCACTGATACAGGAACACGTCGTGTTTGATCTGTCCCTTGGGACCAGTTAAATTAGTCAGGGTCAGCTAAGCTGCGGTAACAAAAAACCCAACAAGAATGTACAAAAAAGTGTCCTGCAACTTGAGGTACACGTTCAGGGCCCCAGGGAGCGGTGCTCCGGGCATTCGCGGGGAGCGCAGGGCTCCCACTTCCACACCCAGCTTCCAGGGTCACCCTGGTCCCAGCAGTCCACCGGCAGGTAAGAAGGGACGCCAGGGTCTCCTGAGTCAAACAACCGAGGCAGAAGCACTAATGGTCACTTCCGCTAACATTTCTTGGCAAGCGCGTCACCACATAACCACGCTTCGCTCCGGGAGGCCTGGGAACGCGTTCTTCCCATTCAGCCAGAAACGACGGGAAGGGTGACTCTGGGGGCCTGCTGGCTGTCTCCGTCACACCAGCTGTCCTGCGTGGTTGTTGACTTACTTATTGGTCTCCGCTCTCTGCCCTGCAACCAGAGCTTTCATCCCATCATGTGTTTGATATTATTCAAGTTAATGAATCTCCACATTTATATCCCATAGTCATGGTGACTTGGCTCTGTGACTAAAACAGCTTTACATGGCTCTCCCAATGGGACTGACTGAAGATTTTGTTCATGGTTGTCCAACTGGGATTGACTTAAACAAGCAACAAGTCCTAACATTTCCAAGTGAAAATGAAAAATTCCAACTTGAAATTTCTTAAAAATGAGAAGTGAGCTCTCCAAGGTAAATCAATTGCTCATTTTTCGAGCAAGGGTGCCATTTCCACGTTCCTCCTTTTCCCCAGGATTCCGGTGCAGGATGGGACGTCAGATGTGGCCTCTGACATGACACTAATTCAGCAACACGACTTGTAAAACTTAAAGCTATTTGCTTAAAAAGACTCTCCAACCACTATTTTTGTTTTCATGGTTTGAATATTATTTTTAATAATAAAAATGTAAAGTAAAAGATACTTAATCTATTTGCTATCATTTTATTTCCTCTGCTACTAATAAAGTGGATTTACCTCTTCTAATTATGTGGGGAGTGGTTGAGGGAGGTCCTGTTGTAGAGCAAAAAAAGTCACATTCAAATTGTGATTATTTTATATACAGTGAATTAACCTGTGAGATTAATGTTTGCTATCTACTTCAATTCAAATGCATCTTATGAATCCTGGTTAATATTTCTTTGATCTTCAAGAAATTTGTAAATACAGATCATTAAAGTTAATTTTACTCTAACTTCATAGAAAAAAAAAGAAACTTATATCATATTAGTAAACTTTAGGTCACTGTTACTTTCCAAGAAGCAATATTAATTCCTAAGAACCCCCTCGCCCAACAGAGTTTAAAAAAATATGAAGCACCTTAAACACTTGGGGGTCATTATGGTTTATTTGCTTCCTCACCACGTATGTGCTTGTTCTCTGAGCCTGGCTGGACTTCACACCCACCTAGGAGGGGAGTCAGGGTGCAAGCAGAGTGGAGCAGGGGTCCCCGCTGGGGTCCGCACTGGGAGCAGCCCAGGGGAGGAAGTCAGAACCTGCCCAGGGTGAGAGGGGTCCACGGAGACAGGCAGACACTATCCGAGCCCACGTGGGTGGGGAGGTGGCTCATGCTCGGGGCTGGTGCAAGAGGGTCAGAACTCAAGCAAGGGGAGGAGGCCACCCCCAAGGGGAACAGCACGGGATGGGGGTGCAGCATCCAGGCAGGGTCAGAAGGACATTCACGGTGGGTGAACGGCGACCGGGTAAGGGATGTCAAAGCCTGACCCCAGTGAGGGGGCTGTGCCCTCAGGGTCTGGGATGTGCTCAGAACAGGGAGGACTCAGACCAGGGAAGGCTCAGACCAGGGAGGGCTCAGAACAGGGATTCAGAGCCTGAGAAGGAAGAAGATGTTCCCACTGGGGAAGGGCTGGTGGCAGAGATGAGTGACTGGTAACACACAGGGGGACCAACCAAACATAAACAGACTAGGGCCAGCGGAAGCCAGATTTCCCGCTGTCAGAGAAGGGGATTACAGACACACACAGAAAAGGGAAAAACTAGGACTCAGTCCTGTGGTGTTGGATTGGAACTGGGGTGTTGGGATGTATCCGTGCGAACTCAAAGTTTCAATATGTACAGATGGATATAGAAACAAATACAGGTGTAAAGGTGTGGGTGTGCACGCCTGTCTTCCCCAGCTCTGTCCACTGGGAGAGCCTGCTCTGGAATCTGCAAAGGTGATCTTGCCACATTTTGGTAAGCATTCCTGTCCCAGAAAGAGATCGGTTCGCGTTTTCCTCTGCAAACTCTGGCACTGAGTCTGGAAACCACTCTTGGTCCCTGTGCAGCATTCCAAGGCTCTTCCCAGAGGCGACAGTTGCCATTCTTTCCGGGTAGAGGTAACACATACGGGAACCAGCGACTGCTTCTGGCTTGCCCAGACGGTCTTTCTTTTGTCAATATTTTTGCTTGCTTTCTAATATTTTTAAATTGTATTTGACTATAACTAGATGATTGCTAGTGGACATGAATTTCCAGAGAGGAAAACCTAGTCAACCATTGTGTGAAAATCAGAAGGTAGCTCTGACCATTAAACAAGGAAACACTACTCAATTTTGGGAAAAAAAAAAGGTGAGGGGTGGGAAGGGATACATTTGGTAGCTTGAGATTTGCAAATAACCAGTACATATAAAAATAGATTTTAAAAATTTCTTCTGTCTAGCACAGGGAACTATATTCAATACATTGTAATACCTTTAATGAAAACGAATATATGTATGCATATGCATGACTGGGACATGGTGCTGTACACCAGAAACTGACACATTGTAACTGATGGTGCTTCAAGAAAAAAAAAAAAAGCCCAAAGTTTAAAACCAAAGTCCACTTTTAGTAATGATCCTTTAAGAGAAAGACAAATCTGGTGGCAAAATGTCTTATAAAATGACAGTTCGCGTTTAGGAACCCAGGACATCACGGTGAAATAATTATGGCAAGTACTGATTATAAATCTTGGGAGATTATTCATGAATTCTGAGCATGGGTCAGTCTGCTGCTTCCTTTTCAGTTACCTGAATATTGGAGACCCCACTCCGACGCCCACCAGACTTTTTTTAAATTTTTTTTTAATTTTTAATTTTTTTTTCTACTAGACTTTTTAAAGGCATCTGTGGTCAGACAGCTTTAGGAAGTTCCCATCTATGGCCACGACTGCTCTTCCACACCCTTGGTGTGGCTTTGCTCCCCTGTCTCATGGGGCACCTGCGGACTCCTCAGGGAGCCACAAGCCCAGGGAAGGACCTCAATTTCACGGTGACATCAGTTGGTGAAACCCTCGATGAGACAACTGCCAAGAAGCGCTTGCTCAACTCTCCTCCACGGCAGGCGGAATCTCCCTCTCCTCTTCTGCGCGAAGCTGAACGAAGGATTCATAAACGAACTTCAATCCTTCTCACCAACCCCAGCCCACACCTCCCAGCAACTGAACTTGAAATAAAAAAAAAAAACCCTGGTTGAAACCACTTCCTATATTTGAAATGAGAGAAGAGCGTGCTAGGCACGATTTCCTGGCTGAACCAACCAGGCTAATACTTATACAGAGCAAGGGCTGGCTGGCATTCAGACTGGATGGACCAGCGGGCAGGGCAACCTGAGCGGACCTGTCTCTTCCTCCTCCACCCTCCCAGCACGATGCAGACAAGAGGCTGACAGCAAACCCAGCATTCTGCACAGAAACACCTTCTCTTCTCGACCCCCTGACAGGCAGCTGACCCCAGGCGCCGGGAAGATGGAGCCACGCTTGCGGATGTGGGGGCTCTTCATAGTCATCATGGTACCAGGCTGCGTGACAGGTAAGGGGTCACGGGTGCCCTCGGAGTCTTGGGAAGGCTAAGGGTGTCGACTCTCCCTGGTCACAGAATCAGAGAGGGACCTCAGTAGAAAGAGCAGGGAAGGGGCTTGAATCCTGGGTTCTGCCACTTCGTCCATGACCCACTGGGGCCACAATCATCACTGGCCTATCAAAAGAACTTGGAATGATGGGCCCGCCTGTCACTCAAAGTCTTGGACAGTTGATTCCGGGAAGAATAGAGTGGTGTGCTATTTGTGAACAGGGTCCTAATGAGCAGATTCGTCAAGAAATTTTATTTTCCAGTGAACGCAGTTTTGCACTGCAAGATAATGCTAAAAATCTATTAGCAATCTCTCTAGGGCCAGGCTAATGTGCCTGAGATGCCATCAACTCCTACGAAAAACACTGGGGTCATCTAAGATCTTAGAAAACTTTAGTGTCAAGGATGTAGACGTTGTTACTGCCTCGGGAAATAATACCTACAAATCTCCTTATTTGTGCAACTTTTCAGAAATTTTAGAAAACATAAGCATATCGCTTTTGGAACCTTAATTCTTTTTATGTTCTTACGTGTGTATACACTTATATGTGTGTATGTGTGTGTCTGTATATACATATGTGAAAGTCTTGAGTTTCATTCATCCTTTCAAATGGGTTTTGTTGGGGTTTTTTTAGAAATAAACCACTAACTTCTACCTCAAACCCCCTTCCTAACTGAGTGTGAATTTTCTAGTAACTTCTTACCCTGCTTAGGCAGGAAGGCAGATAAGATAGCAGAGTCTATAATTTCACATCCTTAATTTCTAGATGTGTAATTACGCTACGCGGCCACAGAAAGAGGTGTTAAGACGTGAAATGCGGTGATGCACACAAGGAATCTTTTTTGCTTGCTTAGGGGAAATGACCGAGTCACTGGGCTGTGAACTGACCCAGGTGCAGGATCTTCCTCACTTTAGAGTGAAAGCGGGCATGATTTTCGGAAGGCTTATAACGTGGTTTCTGCCTCTGCGGGGCCTCGGCCAAGTGGGAGGTCCGCCCAGGCCAGAATAGAAAAAGGCTTCCCAATTAATCATGCTCTCCATCTCTGGGAAGCACATTTCAAGTATACTCGTGTTCTCACCAGCCGTTGGTGACTTCTCTGAAGCTACGAGTGGTCTTGGGGTGGCAGTGGGGTGAGTGAGGACTCTGATCCTCGCTTTCAACCTGGGTGTCACAAACCCACCGGATGAAGAAGAACCCCAGACTCAGGTCACACAGGCAGGGGCAGGGCCGGGACTCAAACCTGGCTCTCTCTGGCTTGTGCCCTTCCTGCTCACTGCAGACAGGGTCTGGGCGCCACGGAGAGGAATCCGGCAGAGAGCGGGGAGAGACCGATGCCGCAGACAGGTCGTGAGGCCCTGGAAACAGGCCAGTCCAGAGGCAAATGGGGGCTTGGTGGCCAAAGAAAATAAACTGGGCTGAGCTTCCGGGATCCACAGATGGATTAGGAACCACTCCTGGGTTAGAAATAATCTCATCTCAGACTTCTTCCTCCGGGAGGAGCTCAGTCTTAAACAAATCTTTTCATTCCTCAGAAGGCGGAGGTCGCCAACAAAATCAGACTGTCAACAGATGCAATTTCTAGCTGATTCATAAGGCAGATTTTCATTCTGAAAATTTCCAAAGCCACCATTTAAAACTGTGATGGGTTACAGGGGCTGCATTAGTCAATGTGGGTGTTTTCTGTTTCTGTATGACTGGGTCCTGGGATGTGGTTAAAGAGAGAATTCTCCTGACATTGCTAGCAGGCACGTTATCCAAGGGGCCCTTCTCAGAACTGTGGAAATTCTGAGAGTTTATCTATGCCTTGATAATCTTTCTTTCATTCTAGGAATTCTGTGATCAAATCTTTATCCCCTAGACTCAAAAAAACACACACACAGACAGACACACGGCGCGGAAACCCAGTAAGACGGTATTTTTGTCTAATTGTCCCTTCTTGTAAAGACTGCTGCCCACACTGGAATTTCCACCCACACGTTTGTCATTAAAACACCAAATGTTTAAATTAACCCTTCACATTTCATCATTCAGTCTCTCTAGGTCCCAAAGTGTTCTCAACAGTTTCCTTGCTCGGTGTTAAGAGGCACCTGGGAGAGGCAGGGCTTTGGTGAACTTAGGGAGTCATTCATAAAACAGCTTCAACTTTCTTTAGAGCCGCGTGTCATAAGCAGGCAGAGCTGTTTGCCACCTGTACATCTGCTCCTTTTTAGGTCTGAGAAAACAGAGGCACAAAACAGAGTTGATTTCACTAATGTCAGCTGGAGTTGCTGCCAGAGCAGGGTACCAATGTACCAATGGTACAGCCCTAGCGTTTGACCCCACTCACCTCAAAGAGAAGCCTTCTTAGTGTCGTTGGATAAAGTGTTGAGTAGTCTGGACACTCCTGTGTTGTTCCTTGTTGAAGTCACCCCTTTAATAGCCACAGGCACCCTTGAGTCAGGCTGGCCCACAGCATGGTGGCCGTTCAAGTTCACTTCCTGCTCCCCTCTTTGCCGGATGATCAGCAGAAGCCTTAAAAATGAACAGAGGTCCCTTTGGAAGTGGGGCACGTGCGCGAGGTCAGTGGAGAGAAGAATTAGGAGGAAAGGAAACTTTGCAGGGAACAGAAAGTGGGCCGAGGCGCCTCCGAACGACCGTTGTTGGAGGAGGGGAATGGCGTGATTTGGGGCAAATTGCTGTACGTCCCTGGGCCTCAGTTGCTCTACACAGTGAGGCTGACAGAGATGACCTTGAGACTGCCTTCAGTCCTCTTGCTCTGTGTCAAGAATTCTGAACGGGAAGCGCAATCAGCTCTGCTTAAAGGTCTTTTCGCGCTGGGGTACTTTTGGATGAAAAAGTGTCCAAACTGCAGACACACACAGCAGGGTCTGGGTTAAGAAGACCTTTGAGGGCCTTCGAGGGCCGAGGCTGACATCTCCCCGAAGGTTACTTCCAACTCCTGAAGGCTACTACGTTGCACTCAAGCGTGATCCACGCTTCTTTGACTTGGTTGCAGTCGTCAGCTGCAAGGCAGAAACACCGCTCACTGCTGGTGAGGCTTCTGCTGTTTCCTCTGGGAATTTCTGCCCTCAAACCATGTCCTTGTTCGTCACAGGGGAGGTCTTGCTTGCGTGGGAACCTATTTCTCTTCTCTCTACCCCACGCCATTCCCTGAGAAAGGGAAGTATGACCTTAATTCAATTGATTGCTTCAAAAAGCTCTAAGCCCTTCATCCCTGAAAGTGGTCCAGTAAGGACTGTCGGACCCTCCAGGGGGGCCACGGAGGGGGCACCTGCTGGCTGGGAAGATGGACGGGGCGGAATTCTGGCTTTTCTCTGCTGCCCTCCAGCTTCTGTGTCTTTAATCCCCTCCTAGAAGATGACACTGGGGATAAATGACATGCAGACTTTTCAAAGGCAAGAGCACCCAGTGTGGGTTCTTGGCTTCAGGAGAGACTCTTGGCCTGTGTTCACTGTCGGCTCTCCAGCCCCAAACTTTGGGCAGCAGTGACAAGCAGAAAAGGAAGGGGCATTGAGGGGACGGAGGCCGGGTGAGGGCCCCCCTGAGAAGGTAGAAGCTGAATCACGGGTTTCTTTGCGTTTGGTGAGCGTCCAACAGCCAAACGCTCGGCATCAAGAGCTCCACTGCCCTTTTCCTCTCCATGAGGTCCTGGACTCCCCTCCTCTGGGAGTGTTTAAACAGAGCCTACGTGAAATTTTGTCAAAAGTGGTGTAGAGATTTCCCAAACCGGCAGGAGGCCGAAGGGATAGCCCTGAGCCCTCTGGACTTAGAACCTAGGAGTCCTTCTCTCTGCGCTGACCGAGTGTGTCACCCTGGCATCCGTCACAGCCCACCCAGGGGAGGCTGGGGGTCTCTAAACTTCCTGAGGCCCTCCCCTCTTGTTCTGCATCTAGGCAGGTACCCGATAAGGCTGGAGGCCCTTAACGAGCCTCCTCATCACCTGCCTTCCTCTTTGGCTCCCCTTTCTAATAGCTTTTCCAGGAGACTCTGCTTTAGATGGAGCCGGCCACCCCCCCAGGTAGCCCAAAGGGGAGAGAAAATGGCCCAGAGAACCTCACCACAGACAGACAGACCTCACTTATCACTGCTATACACACATCCCGAATCTCTCAACAGGAAGAGCAATGCGAGAACAAGACTCCACCTAGCTTAATCTCTCTCGAGTGATGAGTCCTCGAGAAAATTTGATGAGCACTGTTAAGCGGCTCCTTTGAAAACTGCACATATCCCATATAAAGTTGTGAGCATCGTGTTCAGGGTTACAGCCTCCTTAGCAACCAGGGCTCCCAGGTAAGGCCTCCGATCGGGTCCTTTACTAGCTGAAGAGCCGCAGTCAGGAACACAGAGGATGAGACACAGGAAGTTGCCCTCCCTGCTGAGGGAGCCGTAGCTGGCTTGGCATAGGCACCCTAAGGGGCCAGGTGCCTAGAGAAGATAGTAAGGAAAAGGTACCAAGGGCAAATTAAGGACACCAGGCAAGCCAGAAAAGTGGAGAGCCAGGACTAGAACCCAGGCCCCCCCTATTCCAGTCCAGTATTCCCTGCATGGCTTCCCTTCGACTCTCAGTGACCCACATCCATCCCTCCATCCATCCATGCGTTAGGATTACTGAGATGTTAAACGTTTTAGTCTTTGCTCTCAAACTGCTGACAGCCTAACCCCGGAGACGAAATATCTACCCTGAAGACTTGCCAAGGGAAGCCAGCAGTGCTTGTCAATGAGTCAACAGCCATCACTGAGTCTCCACCCAGCTTTCAGATAAGCCACCCATTTAGGGGGAAACGACTATGTACGCGTCGCTGGGTGCTTTAGGTATCTTCCACCCTGAGATTACTCAGGAAGTTTTGGGCTGTTTGACTTGTTTGGAGATTCCTCTGGGATTTGCTTCCATCGATGAGAAAACACAAGTCCGGCCGGGCAGTGTTTTCAGAGCAGGGGTTCCAGCACCAAGTGCGCACT